CAACTACATCTTGTGCTAGGTCATCTACCTCACTTGACTCTTGAGCCCAATCTTGGTTGCTCTCTGAAGTTCCTTTTCCATCGTCATTCGTTGGGAAGTTCATGACATACTCTTCTTCACGTGCTTCTTCTTCTTCGGATGTACCTTCAGGTCTAATATCTGAATGTGTCTCCTGTGGATAAGGTCTTCTTGCTTCTGGGGCTAGCGATCTCGGAATACTGGCCTCCAGCGCGATCTTCATATTCTCGAGATGAACTTCCTTCATCTTTTCTGTCTGTAGGTGTTTAATCCTGTAGACATATGGTCGTATTTGCTCAACGACTCGGAAGGGTCCTTCCCAGCGGGGAGATAATTTGCTGTCACCCTTCTTCTTCACAGCCTTGATGAAAACTCTCATCCCAGGCAGTAATGTAGTGTCTTTGGATTTCTTCTGGCGAATCCTACACTGTTCATCTGCTGCTCTTAGCAAGTTGTCTCGTACATATTCGTACACCTCTTTGGACCGTTGAGTCCTTGCAGTTATGAAATCCTCATCAGGTGGACCTCCAAAACTTGTGGGTCTGGTCCACCAAAGGTCTGAAGTCTTCAGGTCCCGGTTGTACATGGCGTAATACGGCGTATCGCCAATTGCTTTGTGGTAAGCAGAATTTAAAGCCATTTGGGTGTCCTTTAGGTAAAGATCCCAGTACTGATCTTTTCCGTCCACCATCCCTCGTAGAATATTGAGAACTTGCTGATTGGTCCGTTCACAGAGTCCATTGGACGCTGGATGGTATGCAGTAATTTTATGATGCTGAAACTGCATATGCTTCGCCATCTCCTTCAGGATTTCATTCCTAAATTCGCGTCCCTGGTCCGTTAATACCGTCTGAGGAATCCCGAGGTCTGCAAACACCTCACTTACAGCCTCAGCTACGGTCTCAGCATATTTGTTGGGTAAGGCTCTGACAACGGCAAATCGTGTCAAAAAGTCCACTATTACCAAGATATACTGGTTTCCTCGCTCGGTCAGAGGGAAAGGTCCCATCAGATCCATCGAAACCATTTGGAAAGGTTCCAGTGGAACAGGATATCTTCTTAAGGGAGTCAGTGGGTGTGCACGCCCCTTAAACTTCGCACAAGTAATGCACTTCCTGCAATACTCAGCTATATCCCTGTCCATACCACGCCAAGTAAAGTTTTGTCTCGCCCTAAACTTGGTCCTCTCCTCAGCACCATGACCTCCTAGTGGTGCTAAGTGTACAAGTGCCAAAGCTTTCGGAACTAGTGTTCTAGGCACACACAGCACTTCCTTTATATCTCGCGCTGAATTAGGTGTCCTGACTTGTTTGTAGAGGAGCCCTTGATCAAGGAAATAATCTTCTACCACCAAGTTCGGGTCCACTTTCCTCTTGTCGAGAAGGTTCTTCGTCTGCAAGTACTTGATTACAGGTGAGTATAAAGGATCTTGGTTTTGTTCCCGGATCATTTCATCGATAGACCAAGGGTGACCATCTTCCTCATCATCTTCCTGTTCATCTTGTCTTGTTTTCCCTCCAAGATTATTGGCTACTACTGCCATCAATATCCGGCAGTTTTGAGCTTCATCGATTATCATCGTTGATGCTTTCTCAATATCTTCAGGATCCACTCCTTCTGGTGCTTCAATACGAGATAGTGCATCAGCTGCAGCATTCAGCTTTCCCGGATGGTACAGAATTTTAGCGCCGAAAGACTGAGCAGTTAAGGCCCATCTGGTGACACGTGCATTACCATCCTTAGCTTTGTGGAAAAGCCACTGCAAAGAGCGATTATCCGACATGACAATCACTTCTAATCCCCATATAAGAGGTTTAAACTTCTTCAAAGCCTCGATTACAGCGAGCGCTTCTTTCTCCATCACATCATAGCGAAGCTCAGCTCCTCGAAGCTGGCGACTGAAATATGACACAGGGCAAAAGTGTCCGTCATACCTCTGTGCTAAAATGGCACCAATAGCTCCCTTACTGGCATCAGTAGAGATGTACCACGTTCGTGAGAAGTCAGGAGATCTCAACACTGGCTCCTTTAGTAGACTTCTCTTCAGCACTTCAAATGCTTCCTCTTGTTCACTTCCCCAAATGAAAGGTTGTTTCTCTGAGGTCAACTTTGTAAGAGGTTGGGCCTTTTGGGCATATTTCTCTATGAATCGTCTGTAATACCCAGTTAGACCAAGAAATCGTCTTACTTCACGTCGATTTTTGGGTGTGGGAAAGTCTTTTACAGCAGCTAACTTGTCTAGCGCCGCTTTAACTTCCCCATGCCCTACACGATGCCCTAAAAGGTTTATTTCTTGTTGGAATAATCGTGTCTTCTCAGGACTAGCCTTTAGTCCAGCCTTTATCAACCGACCCAGTGCTTCCTTCAGTACCTGTAGATGCCTATCAATATCATCCATGTATATAGCTATGTCGTCTAAGAACAAATGCTATGATTTGGCCACTGAAGACTCGGTTCATGAGGCGTTGGAACGTTCGAGGTGCATTAGACAGACCAAACGGCATCACTGTGTACTCGAAATGTCCTTCATGGGTGGTGAAGGCTGACTTCGGTATTGAGTCGTCATCCAGTGGTACTTGATGGTACCCGCTACGCAAGTCAAGCGTCGAAAACCATTTGCTCTGACTGACTTGGTACAGGATGTCTTCTATCAGTGGCAAAGGGTAGAACTCAAGCTTGGTTTGGCTGTTCAAAGCCCGGTAATCTACACAGAGCCGAGGATGCGATTTGTCCTTTCTCTTCACTAGAACAATTGGTGCATTCCATTCAGAAGAACTGACTCGAATATGGCCTTGCTCCTTCAGAGCCTGGACCTCTGCTTCCACAGCAGGTCGTAGAGCATATGGGATGAACCTAGGTGGAACATATACTCGATCACTGTCGCCTGTCTCTATCTTGTGCTCAACAAGATTGGTTCTTCCTAAAGGTTCCTCTTTAAGGTTGAATGCCTCTTGGAATTCCCATATCATGGACTCTGCTGCTTTGCGTTGGTCTTCCTTCAGGATCCAGCGATCAGCGTCCAGTGCTTTCAGAAGTTTCTGGAAGCGCTTCTCATCATACACTGGCCCGTTTTTCACCACACAACATGGATCAATTTGAAGAGCTTGATCCAGGGGATCCTCTTCCTCTACATCATCCGGTTTCACCTCAGTGACCACGGCATTGATGCTCATCCTTGTGAGAACTCGTTGTTTTTCCCAGTGGTCGGTCGGTAAACGTCCCAGCTGCTCCTCTTCATCATCTTGGATAGACACAGCATTGGCAATGGTTCTCTTGCTATGAACCAAGAACGGTGTGCGACCGAAGTTGCAGACCAAGACTTTCACATCTGCCTTGGCTACCACAGGGATAACGATACAGTTCTCTCCCAACGGTAACCCACTGATTAAAATCGAGGTTCCGTTTTTGAGTCTCTCGTCCTTCTGCTTAAGGCTCCCTAAAATGATGGATGCCTTCCCAGCAGGAAGGGTGTAAACCCCAGTAGAGACTATTACAACTGTGTCCTCTTTGTCGGCAACACTGTTGAATGCCACATCAGAAGAACAGGTCATCGGTGCATCTCCACAGTCAGCGTTAATTGGTTGATCAACCACTTCTCAAAGTGCCACCTCAGCATCCATACAACCGAACAACCAGGCCTCTGTCTAGATGATCTGGCACCCCTAGGTCTAAAATTCCTGAAGTCAGTTCAGGTTGAAACATCATTGAGTGAAGGTGAATCGGTGTTGACTCCTGGAACTCATTTGAAGAATACGGCGTGATTAGCCGTCAAAACTAGCTTAACTAACTAGAAATTAATTCTAGTATTAGGGTGAAGTTAAATGTAGATTCCAGTTCGTCTTTTCCCCGAAGTTAGCGGACGGCGGGCCTAGGAACTATGGTCAAATTGTAAGTATTATTACTTAATAAATGTGTAAGTTCTTTTCACACACACTGTTTAATATTATCCCATTTTGTCATTCCTACATAATAGGACACTGAACAAAGGAGGGAACCACACCACAGAGATACTGGTTGGGTTGAACACAGTGGTACACGAAACAAAAAGAAATAACACTTCTACTAATTAATCACTTGAAGTACATCGACACGAGAAATACAATATCTATTAAATAAGAACCTATGTCTTGAAGAATAATGATATAAATGAGTGAAAATATCAATGATATCGAGATATATGTGAAATAGAGTAATTTAATTCATTTTAAGGTTTCCAGAAATAGTGAATGATGAATCAGAATGATGCCATACTGATCTGAAGTTTTAATGATCAAAAATATTATTGAAACTATCTGAGATAACCTTTGATTAACTTACTAGAGTAAAGTAATAACGAAGATTTATGTTGGGGTAACAATGACCCCCATAGCATATGGTAGCAGCGAGAAGGATTAATAATAGTATTGTATTCTATGTACTTTAAATAAATTGTCAGTATCGCAGCATTCTGGAAGTGTACGGCAACTATTGCAGGCACCGAGGAAAGTAGAGACTGTAAGACTCACTGACGTACTGGCATGCCAATGAGAGTGTGAGAGACTGCAAAACTGAGTTTTGATTGGCTGAGAGAACAGAGTGTCTGTAACGCTTAAGTTTTAGAGCACGAGCCGCTATCCAATCAGCGACGAGGAATTGGACGAGCGTATGACGTCAGAGTACGTAAGGTTGACGTAAGACTCGTAGGACCAATCAGACGACGGTAGACTCATGACTGTGACGTCACTGAGCCGCTCGCTCGTGATACCGAGAGCGGTAGTCTGAGAGCTGACGCGAGACAGAGGATATCTCTGAAAGAAAGTCAATTATTGCATGGCTAAGTCTCCACTATTCCTTAATAGTAACTAGATGAATAAAGTTAATTAAGGGGTAAATTCATGCATGCTTATTGATTACACAGTTCAATATAAAAGGATAATTAGAAATTGATTGTTGGGTAATATTTTGGTTAGTTACCCTAGAAGTTTCTTTTTCACCAATATAAA